TGTCTCAATATTATCGATATCTTTCTTTCGCGCGATTGTGTTTGGGACTGTTCATATATATACATCTTATCAATATCCTTATAATATAAAGATACAATGTCCCGGAATGTATACAATCCTCTCTTGAAATTCTCAGTGTGTATAGAGATTTTCAAGTATGAATTTATGTCGATATCTTTATCCATACATTTCTTCTTCCTCTTCAAAATTAATGATTCGTGATTAATAATTTGTGCGCGCGATTTTTTCGAGATTATCAAAATACATAGCAATGTATCTATCTGATTTCATAACTGTGATTTAAAACAATTTTTTTTTGTCGGATTTTTTATATACTCTGGAATATTTCGAAAGATTGTTTCTATATATATATTGATTTCTACTATAAATATATGATATATTGTTCAGAACAATTAGGGGATCATTCTTTTAAAAAATCTATAAATGGACCCAGATACTATCAATGGTATTTGATCGGGTATTGATCCGAAATAATGACATACGCGTTTTCCGTTTCTCTTGAACGGGTATACAAAGTCCCGGAGAAAACATTGAGGAATTCAAAAAAATACGATAACCCGTTCAAAACCAGTCTAGATTTATAAGGATATATAGATATATTATGGATAAAGAGTATGGCTTTTCATGAGACTATTTTCTCTATGCTAATCTCGATTATGATCTTTCCCGGTCCATTAACACATTTTCTAAACTTCGAGATAATAACTTTATAGAAATTAACATATATAGAGAAAAACAATGTTCCGAAATATTACAGAGTATATAAAGCATCACACAAAAAAATTTGTGAAAAATCACAGTTATAAAATTAGGTGAATGCGTCGATATGTATTTTGAAAACCTCGAGAAAATCGTGCACACCAATTATTAGTCGCGAATCATCATTTTTACATATATGACATACACTGTTCAGAATAATTAGGGGATCATTCTTTTAAAGAAATCTATACATGGACCCAAACACCATCGTCTAAAGAAGCTAAAATACTGCGTTTTACTAAAGAGAACTATTCAAAACCTAAGATATGTATTATACTATTGATCTAAGATGTCATAACGAGACGTGTATTTGAGAAAAAAAATAATCCCCTAGTATATATACATACGTACATACACATACGCGTTAATGTTACACGTAGCACGTAGAATGTGCCGGGATCATTATCGTTTCTCACAACATACATTCGCCAAGTGAATAAAATGTACAAAAAATTACGTATTACAATTAATACGATAGTTTTATCAATATAATAATATTAATATAATATAATAATAATCAATAATATATAATAATAATCAATAATGAGGAGAGCGGGGGGAGTAATAATATTAATAATATAAAAAACAAGCGAAATGCGCCTTGATATTTCAAACAACTATACAACTCTGAAATCGCCACTAAAATTCCATATTGAAAGACTACTAAGAATATCTCATCGCTCTGAAATTCTAGTTACATACATTCTTGTTTCACTCTCTCTTTCTCTTTTTTTTTTTTTTTATTTATTTCCTCGTCGCGTCTTTAGATACAAAGACGAACGAAATCGCGAACATCTGTATCTTGTTCTCCTTGTCTCTCGTGACGTTGGATCGTTTTGTAAAACGATGATATGGCTAGATACAGTGTATTCGATTGCGCAATATCGGAGCCTTCTCCTTTAATGTCGACGCGTTATATTATTTATAATAAAACCGAATACGTGCAATAACACTATTTGATATGTCTCTAAAAAACGTCAATTTCTTTCTCCGTTTCTCATAGCGAATTCGATTGTACGCTAATCCGTTAGATATAGGAACGTAACGTATATAGTGGTTTTGACGAAATAAAAAATGCCCAACGTTCATATCCTATCAAAAATTGTCATTGATGATAATTAATCCGAAATACGAATCATGTAAAATTTTCACGCGTATTACTAGTGCAGTATCCAACCGAACATGCTACCAGATTACATATCTTCCCCCCGCCCCTTTCTCTTTTTCTCTCTCTCTCTTTCTTTTCTATTTTTTGCATTTTTTATTATCCGTTCGACTTTACATTAGATTCTAGATGTAAGGAGAGAGAAAGGGAAAGAAATATGTTCTGAGTTGAATGTTGTGTTAGTAATGCGCGTGAAGATTTTAATTTGTGCTCAGTATAAATTATTATCTTATATAATATTAAACGACAATTCCGCTTTCTCTTTCTCTGTGTGTCTGTCTGTCTCTCTCTCTCTCTCTGCTCTCTTTCTTCCTCTCTGCCTCTTCGTTTCTTTCTCATAGTGTTATATCTCGTGCACAAGAAAGATGATTAGCGCAGCGCATAGAAAATACAAGTCGAACTACAATGTATGAAAGTACATCGTTTCGTCCGCTCGGACACTCTTTTCGCTACTTTAGTAATATTATTATTATTATTATTACTATTACTATTATTATTATTATTATTATTATTATTATTATTTTTATTATTATTGCATTGGCTCTTTCATCGTTTTTCTTTTCTCCATATATTCATCGTTAAATTCCTGAACTCTGAGGTAGTCTGTTCCGGGTGTGACATTACGTAGTAAAAATGGCAAGAGTGCTAAATATCGTTTACCGTGTATTACCGTGTTATACGCTATACATCGATATTATTTACGTGTGTATGTGTTTACGTGTGTATTGATATTACTCTTCCTTAATATAATAAACAAAACGGAGCGGATGTGTGTCTGTGTTCACGTTCGCGTCAAGTTTGTGATGTATTATTGTGTACGCTCGCAATTTTTTTGTGTATATCTGAAAATATATCTTTACATCCGTGCATTGTTTTATATAGGATATATCTAAAATGTCATTATATATTTCGAGATTAGCGACGAAAATCACTTACGAAATAATGCAATATCTTAAAGCAACTATATCTTAAAAACTTAGATTTATCCACATGTGCTTATCAGGATTTTTTACTTTTTCAGCTTCACAATATTGCTGATGTAAATGTCATGCTATTATTTTAGAAATATCCTACGTAGTATTCATCGTGACGATACGCGCGATTTTTGTGGCATTTGCGACAGATTAATTTATTACGTTAATAATATGCCAATTAATACGAAAAGAATTCCAAATAAAACAAAATGACTTTATCTATTGTAAAAAAAAGTTTCAAAGAATTATCACCATTTTGAATTTTTTCTTTTTTATTTAAATATTAAATAAGTGCCTCTCCTAGAAATAGAAGTAAACCGTCACGATGAACAAACATATGAACCTTGTAAATATAATTATATAATATGTATAATTACATTATAAAGAGATCTTATTTATAGTGAAACGCATTTATAGAACAAAATGTTTTTATCACTCATTTATTTACGTGTAGGGGGAGGGGGAAGATCGAGAACAATTAAATAAACTTGATCAAAGTGTCATACACACAGTGTCTCAACATATACGCATTGGATAATTCTTTCTAAACGACAACGGGGGAAGGAGTAATGTATGTGTGTTTTGTATGCGTGTATATGTGTGTGCGCGTGTGCGCGCGCACGATAAAGGTTTAGATAATTAACATAATATTGGGTGAGAAACTATTCGCATATCTAAAATTGATCGCTTGAGTGGAACTAGGACCGACGAAAACAATAACCTATTTCGTTATAGCAAGGTGACCGTTTACTCATAATATGTATTTGAACGACGCGTAGCTCGAAGGGAAATTTGCTGCAAGGGGTCGGATTGCAGTCGCGGCGATTGGCTTGTTTCGCTACAGTAATTAATCAGGTATCAATTAATTAGTGCCGTCAATATGCGGAACGAATTGAGCTGCGAAAATAATTAACATTAATTGATAACATATGAAATTGAAAACATACAAAATAAGAGTAAATGTTAACAACAACCACTAACTAATAATTAACATATCAATATTTTTAAAAGAGGATTCATCAATATTAAATCAACAGTTTAACTCTTATTAATAAGAGTGACAAATGTTTATATGGTAATTGAGCATAACAATCTGCAAAACAAATAAAATATACAATTTAATTAACTCGTTAGATTATTATATTTACAATATATACAAATTTAATATTCAAAAAATTAATAAATCAGAATACTTTTTTACCTTACAAAATTTAAATATTATTTTAAAGATGTAAACATTTAAACAATTAAGTTGGGAAACTGGCAAATAAGAGCCAAAGCGCGGGTGCGCGAACTTATTATTGTTAAATTTTAGTAGTAAGTATATTAAAAATGTATAATAAACATTTAAACATTATTTAGAATGTATGTAAATACATGTAAGAACTTATATTATTTCAGGCGTAATTCACTAGATGTGCATATAAACGTTCATATAAACATATATTAGATATAATTGAGTTTTAATTTCGAATTATACTGATTTATTGATAAGAAGATCTACTCAAAGTCTTATAAGCAATATAAAAGTGCGAGCAAAGTTCACTTTGAACAACGCGCCAACCGTAACTTAGACTATCTTAGGCTTTCAAATAAACAAATGAGGCACTATTGTAAAAGCGTGCCCAGCCTTGATCAATAACTGGAATTTATATCGAATGTAAAACATACTTTTTACTTTAGATAAAACTTTGATTTTGAGAAAGAATTATCTTCAATGCGTACAAGTCGACACACTGTATGTATGATGTTTTCGATCAAGTTTATTTAATTGTACTTGATCCTACACGTAAATAAATAAGAGTAAAAATGTTTATTCTGTAATTGCGTTTCACTATAAACAAGATCTGTTTATAATATAATTATACATTTTATAATTGTATTTACAAAATTTATATTGTTTATTGTGACAATCCATATAATTTGAAATTAAAACTCAATTTTATATATACATATATATATATTGAATATCTTTAAAATACTCTTTTAAATGTTGTAAGATAAAATAAACTGATCTATAAATTTTTCCAATATTAAATTTGTATATATTGTAAATAAATATAATAATCTAATAAGTTAATTATAATAAATTATATATTTTATTTGTTTCTTGGATTGTTATGCTTAATTGTCATATAAATATTTGCCACTCTTATCAATAAGAATTATACTGCTGATTTATTATTAGTAGATTACATTTTCTCATTAAAAATATTGATATGTTAATTATTCATCAGCGATTGCTGTTGACATTAATCTTGTTCTCGCTATTGAAGTTTATCAGTTAATGTTAATTTTATGATTTTTGTGTAGCTCAAATCGTTCGATATATTGATGGCATTAATTAATCGATCTCTGATTAAATACTGTTGCGAAACGAGCAAAAGCAGCTGCGACTGCGATACAAATCTTTCAGTAAATTTAAAATCAAAGTTTTATATAAAATAAAAAGTATATTTTTTACTTTTCCTTTAATAATATTACAATTATTGATCAATATTGGGCACGTTTTCACAATAAAGTAGCGAAAATCTAAAATCAAAGTTTTATCTAAAATAAAAAGTATATTTTTACATTTTCTTCGATATACATTTCAATTCTTGATTGATGTTGGGCATGTTTTCACAATAGAGAGTGCTTTATTGGTTTATTTGTTATATATATAATAAAAACTTTATTTTTATCCTTTATAAACACATATAACAAAAGGAAAAAGTTATGATATTTATAAATATTTTAAAATATATTTACAAGTTTCGCTCATTTGTAGAACAAAATACAGAAAAATTTGTTAAAAATAAGATAGAATGAGCTTTTTCTTCTTCAGCACATACGTTTTCACATCGGTTAAATTGTATCTTTATTCATCACATTTCACAATCTATCGTTATGCTTCATCTTTTGTGCTTTATTTAAGTTGAATAGCAATAAAATTTTTTTTACTATAATAATACTACATTATAGTTTTGTAACTCTATTATAATAATTATCACACAATTAATGCAATTATATTATTACTAACATTGTCTGCAAATTTATTGCTATTCTGTCCACACACACAATGTGTGGTTGTGTGCGCGCGCGTGTGTGTGTGTGTGTGTGCGGTGCTATTTTGTAATAAATATCGTAATTTACCAAAAAAAAAAGAGAGAGAGAAAGAAAGAAGAAGAAAAGTATAATTACAAATTATGAAATGTGTGATGAGATAAATGAGAGCAATTTTCGATGATTTTGGAAACGTATATTAAAGAAACATAGAAAATAAGGCGTAATTATAACATATTTATAATATATACTAAAAATACATAAAAAAGTATAAAAAAACGCCGAATAACTCTGCGCTTTAGCGCTGATTGGCCTTTGTCCTATGTGTTGTAAATTTTATATTATAGAGAACCTTCTTTGTTTATGTTATTATTTAATTGTAATAATTATAATATAATAATAATATACACACTTTTTTATATATATTTAATACTTTGTACACATTGTTATAAGCTTCGACGACTTAATACAACATCGATATCTTAGTCTCCGATCACTTATTGCCAATTTGAAAATGTGACGCTTATATAACTTTCTCGAGATCGTCGTCAAAAACATTAACGAAATTTAAAGTTGCGATCTGTTGAGAAATCGATGCGACGGAAGTAATAGACAGAGAAAGATCTCGTATTATTCCTCTTTGGGATCAAATATCGTTACGATTTCGGTCGATACCGTCGTGAAAGTTTCGCAGATACGTTTTTTGTATTACGTGTTCAAAAAAAGCACAGTGATTTCGGTACATTGTGAGGTCCGTTTCGCCTTGATTACTTTTCATCAAATTACTTTTAGATAAAAGCTTGGAAAACATCAAATTGCTTTGAGAGTCGAATAAATATTACCTTAATATAAAAAAATTGAGAAAATGCCGACGCTGTCATACAGTGTTTACGTGCATATCGCTATATTAAAACTACTTTTTCAAAAAGTATTTATTCACGCGGATAAAGCCCAAGACAAAAATTCGTTATTTGCTTCATTTTTCTTATCAAAAATACCGCATTTTATCGAGAATTACAAAATAAATATCAAATCATTGGCAAATGATTGTATATCGAATTTTTGTATATATTGGATTGAACGAACAAAAAAACGAACAACAAAAAAAAACACGGACAAAAACGATATCTGTCGATCGGCGAAGAATATTACCTTTCGTTCCGTCATCGAGACGATCTCGAAGCCGCGCAGTAGTCGGGCAGCCCAATCGGGCTTGACATCTCGGAGACACATGTCTTTACAACTTTCTGTCGTAGTTGTTATGGACATCGTTGGGCCGTTCAACATTGCACCGTTGAGCGTTGAATCGTTGAGTGTTGAAACGCGAACCGTTGAGCCGCTGAGCGTTTAGCCGTTGGACGTTCTGCCGTTGCGCGGTCAGCCGCGCTTTCTTGTTGTGCGTGTCCTGATGCTTCTTCATGTGATCCTGTCGGATAAATCCCTTACCGCAAGTATCACATTTAAATGGCCTCCTACCGGTATGGATGCAGGTATGTCGTTTGAGGTCGGTCTTGTGGGCGAACACCTTCGGGCAAGCGTCGCATTGATGTCTCCTTGCACAGGTATGCATCTGAACATGTTTTTCGTACACTTCTTCGTTCGGAAATCGCTTGCCGCATTGGGCGCATTTGAACGGCTTGTCGCCCGAATGGAAGCTTTTGTTATGCTGCGTGAGATAGCAACCTCTCATGAAATATTTGTTACAATCAATACACTTATACACGCCATCCTGCGAAATAAAATTGGCTACAGTGGTAGTGACCTGACGTTGCTTGCTCGAGTTGGTCTTGCTCTTACGCTCTTTCTTAGGTTGCAAGCCGATGTTCGGGTCTAAATCCTCCTTCGCTTGACTCGGCTGTGATAGATGATTATTATTTGTTTCGAGATCAATGCGCTGTTGCTCAAGTTGATAGGAGAGCGAAGATACTTGTTCCTCGTTCGTCTGTATCGTCGTTACGTCCATATCGGTCAACGACTTATAGCGCGATGGTGAATACGGGTCATAGGTCGTTGTGGAAGATTCAAAAGATTCTTGAGGAGCAATCTCCTCCGCGCTTAGCCCCCCCACGTTAACGGTTTGTATCTGGTTTTGTTCTACTACAAACCCAGTTAGCACACCGATTTGCGTGAAATTCTTCTGATCGAAGATCGTAAAACTAGGCAGCAGTTGATGTTGTTGTTGGTCGTTTTGCTCGTTACCAATAGTAGTTAGTTGCATGGTGGTAACTGGTTGGGTAGACTCCAGTAGGACCGCCGGGGTGTTGGTAGTAATTGTAACGTGGGGGGGCAAGGCGTTTGGGTACGGCTGATGAGGCATCGTAGTACCCCCCATCGCCGTGGGCGAAGTCATCGCCGGATGGACCGAGCCTGGTGGCGAGTTCATGTGATGCGGGTGGGGGGATGTACCCATTGGTGAAGGGCAATTCATGTGCGATGCCGCCTGTGGGGGTATGGGCGAACTCGTGGTATGATGCACCGGCTGGCCCGGCGAATCCGTTGGCAGGTGAAGCTGCTGCTGTTGTTGCTGCTGCTGGAGGCCCAGCTGATGAGGCGCAGAACCCATTTGTTGCTGATGATGTCCCGCCAGCGACGATGGAATTGGAGAATTGACCGGCATTATTCCCGAGTGCGGCAGGTGGACCAGCTGTTGTTGCAGGGCTGCTGCCGAAGAGTCGCTGCTGCTGTTGCTGCTGCTGGAATTGCAGTGGGTGGTGGGCGTGTGAAGCAGGCCCCTCGTCGCCTCGCCCGAGGGACCTGCCATCAAGTTTGGGGGACTCCTGGAAGATGATAAATCCGGCGGGGATCGTGCGGGCGCGCCGCCACCCCTGCTGCCCGAATGATTATTATCTCTAGCAGGATGATGATGAGCGCTAATCGGTAAGTTCGCCGGATCAGGTTCCTTGCCATTCTTCACAGCGTTCTTGTGCAACGTCGTATTATAGTGTCTTTTGAGATGGCCTGAGCTTGTAAACCACTTGTTGCACGCGGTGCAGTTGTAAGTCTTTGGCCGGCGAGGCTCGTTGCTTTTCCAGGATTGATTTGCTAACGGCGCTTTCGGCGGTTGTTGGACGAAACCAGCTGGCATCTGGTGGCTTGCTATCGGTTGCGTGCTTGTGATTATCGGTGAGCCTTGATGTCCGTGCTCCATGGGCATATGTTGACCGCGCATGAACTGACCCTGATCAGCAATCGGTGGAGGAACATTGTCTATGGGGCCCATAGAGCCAAGCCCAGTATGATAATCATGTGGTTGGGTGGCCGGCGGCCAACCCAGCATAGAACTCACCGAATGTGATCCTATTCTGTGCTGCTGCTGTGGTATCAGCCGTTGCTGCATCTGCATCTGAAGTCCCTGCTGTTGCTGCTGCTGATGTTGATGAATTCTTACGAGCTCTTCCTCGTATCGGTGCGTTTGCACTTTGTGAGAATCCAAGTCGAGGATTTCAGCCTGCTCTTCAGGCGGTTCCTGTTTCATATCCGACTTGCTCGTTTGCCCGCCGTTGTAATCGTAACTAGGTTGTTGTTGCGGTTGATTGGAAAGAGGAGGCGATGGATGCAACTGCTGAGGACTGTTGCCCAGTTGTTGATATTGTGGTGCGGATGGATACGCAGAAGGCGAATCTAAATGATTCGTTCTCATGTGCTCGCCTAACTGATTTGCGTCCTCGTAAACGGCACCGCATTTGTCGCATTGAAGCGGGGGACTTTGCGGGCTAGTAGAATTGGACGTCGCGCGATCCGCAGAATAGTGCTGCTGATGCTGATACGGATGATAACGCGGGTAACCGCCGCCACCGTCGCGATTGCTCTGAGCGTCTTCCTGTGACGGCGAAAAATGATGAGTTAACATATAAGACTGCTCATTTGACATATAATAGCCGCTCTCGCTAAACATTGATGTTTGAAAATGATCGTATGGCTGGCATACAAGTGTATGTATGGCAGGCTGTTGCTGCTGCTGCTGAGGTTGTTGTTGTTGTGGCTGCTGCTGCTGTTGTTGTTGTTGCTGCTGCTGCTGCTGCTGTTGCTGTTGCTGCTGCTGCTGCGAGGATGTTGGATCTTGAGAAGGCGACATCGATGACGGCTCACTCGAGTCCGTCGGCACAGTCACACTATCCCGATTGACATTCACGTGACTATTATGATTGCCAGTCTTACTATGATTATTATTGCTCTCTTCCTGCTGTGCCTTATTAGCCCACCGATTTAACAAGTTCTCTTTATGATACCGCACGTGCACTTCGAGGCTCTTCTCGCCGTCAAAATTGACACCACAGTCCTTACAACGATGCCTCGCATTCGAACTATCACCTACGTATTGTTGCTGTTGTTGCTGTGTCTCGACAACACTCGTCATTTCACTCATATTGTCTTCTTCCCATTCGACCGTCAAGTCACGTGTTTCAGCCGTCGAATAGTAACTCGTACACAACACGAATAGAATAAAACTAGACGACACACACACATGAACGCCCGTTACACGCGTCCGAGCGCGCGCGCAACTATAACGTGACGATCCTTCTCTCTTTCTTTCCGGTCTGTTGTTTCACTTAGTCGCCTCTTGGATCGCGTCTTATGACGCAGCAGAACTACGCGTGACGTAGCGAGATAACACATGAACGATTACGTCGTACGTGAAAGCGCGAAACGACACCGTGGCGAGTCACGTGCGAGGGTTCACTAGTTCGGCGGGAGAAACAATGCGCTTCGACCTAGCTGTATAGAAGGGAAAGAAGAGGGAGGGGTTCAAAACGAAAAGAGAGAAGAAAGGAGAAAACAAAAAGAAACCGGGAATACAACGTGTTCTACATTTATCATATGATCGCACCGATTCCGGACGCGAATATCCAATTCAATGTCGCTCGATAAATCGCAGTCACCGCGTACGGCATTGTCGGCCTCGGTTCGACGGCGTGTCGACAACGATGACAACGACGACAGCGGGACGGTACCACCACTTGCCGGCTCCTTAGCTGTGAGAACTAGAGACGGCTCTCGATAATGAGCGTCGGACGATACCGGTTAACTCGGCGCCGAAACGAACAAAACGAAATGAAAATAAACACGCGTATCGTCCATAATTTACATGCTGATGGCTCTCGATAACGCTCGTATTTACGTTTGTCGTTTCTCTAGCAAAGTCTCTCCCGATGATCGAGACGATCGACACTTTGATTTTGGGAGGAGATTTCCGGCGAGACGCCTCGAATCTTGATGATCGTCACTTTGAAAATTTCGCGACGATTGTCACGAGCGCGAAATACACTTTGCACTTTGCTCACTGTAACTATGTCTATATACCGCAATAATTCTCACTTGTGGAGTCTCTCTCTTTTTACGCGGGTTGATCGTGGGTGCTGAGAGTCGATCACCTGACGTCGCGTATCCGGTACTACGAGAGCAGCGGAACTGAGCCGGCGAACACAATGAGAAGCAACCACCTCAGTCTCGCGTCACCCCTCCGTTCAAATCCCCCCTCTCCCTTTTCTTTCTCTCTCTTTTCTCTCACTCTCACGTCGGATTACACTCGCTCACTACAACTGTACGACCGTGTCGTACGAACGCCGGTACTACTCTGTCGGTTGGAATTCCGTAGTTTCGACTCCTCGGGCTCGCGCCAAGGCACCGTTTCTCCTCCCCTCATCCCTCCCTTGCCGTGTCCCGCCCCTCATCGCTTCCTTCGCAATCTCGCCACCCCCTCTTCGTCGTCACTTGCCTCTTTGGAGTCTCTCTCTCTATCTCTATCTTTCTCTCTCAGACTTTAGCACGCTTCCCCTCATTCTCTATTACTATCTCTCTTCATCTCGTATCGTTGTTCTCTCAAACGTCTTTCTTCCTTCTCATCCAGCAACACCGGCGAATAGCAGCTCTCTTCGTCTAACGTTTAGACTTTCTCTTTCTCTCACGAAAACTTCATCGTTCCGTCACGCTCCCTTCGCTGGAAGAACTCTTATCCTCTCTCTTCTCCTTCTTCTCGCTTAAACTTCTCCCTTCTTTCTCATCCAAATGTTTGACCGAGAGAGAAACACGAAACTGCCTTGCTTCTCTCTCTCTTTCTTGTCCGCTTGCTTACTCCCGTCTCTCCTGCGTACCAACCCCACCACTTTCGACTATAGTCGATCTCCTCTGATTCCCTGCCTGAACTGAAGAGGGATAGGCACGCACGACAGAACGGTGGAAAGCGACGGCCAACCAAATTTGAGACCTCCTTGCCCTTCCTGGCTTTCATCCTCCCTCCTCGCTCCTTCTAACGAGTATTTTGGCCGTTCTCTTCCTTTGGTCTTACTCGTCTCTCTCACTCACTCTCAATAAGGCTCCAAATTCTCCAAGACGCTGTGTTGTTTTGTCTCTCTGTTAGTTCTCTTCTCTTTAGCCTCGATGTGTCCTTTTTCAATTACAACACCCGCCGTCACGTCTCTCCCGATTCTCTATGGTGACGCGTCTTCAGAGAGAGAGAGAGAGAGAGAGAGAGAGAGAGAGAGAGAACACGACGGGACAGAGACGTGAGCATGGCATGAGAATCCTTGTTTGTTGCACGCCCGCGTAACGGCCGGCATCGTCCTTACACAGACGAGACTTTACACAGCGAGACTTCTTTTGAAATTTTTGAATTTAAGTTTTTAAAAAACATTTCGTATTTTATATTATCCCTATAAGATTATATTTTTTTTACAAACTTCCCCGCTGTAAAAAATTAAAAAATAATTCTGTGTTTATCTCTAAAAATCGTACAATTTTCTGACGAATCTTGCTTTGAAATATAAAATCTAAATTTGTGATTTTATCATCCAAATAATATCAAAGATTAAAATTTGTAGAAAAATTGATTAGTATAAATTTTTAATCGGCTTTCACAATACACTCGAGAATACTTTGATATATAAAGGAAATCATATCATCGAAGAAATAAATGTAAGTAATTCTAGTGGCACTTAACGCGTTACGGATCATCGCGAGAGCCGGTCCACTTATTTCTACCAAAAAATCCCCTCGGTTGAATCCTCGAATTGCTCGAAGATCACCTAATTCCACCAAGTAATAAACGTAACTCTCGGCAGTTCGCCTAACTTTTTATTAGGCCAAGCCACGAGCCCCTTCGTAAGTACTTGCGTAAAAAAATGTGCGAGGGTATTATCTGGCGATAACTAAACTCTTTTTCTCGCCCTCTCCCCCTCCTGTTCACTATTCCTCTCTCTTTCTTTTGCGCGCTCTTCTCACCTGGCTTCGTTCGCGGAACGACCCGATGGAATAAAAAAAAAAAAAAAAAAAATGTGGGTAACCTTGCATTTTTTTACGATAACTTTTTTCTCCACGCGCGAACCCAGCTTCTCGGCCCGTGCACTTTGCATACGGAATGCGACAAGTCCCTCTATCCTGCCCTCTTGTGCCCGACACCAGCCGCATCCACCATTGCCTAACCCTTTACTCCAACTATGAATATGTTTATTGTGCATTGCGCGGCGGCCACCTGATGCAAAAGAGAGAGAGAGAGAAAACCTTGCCGCGTGTGTGGGCGGATGCGCGGAACGTGGTGTCATAACTAGTAAATAAACGATCGGTATTAAAATCATATAGCGTGGACGATTAATTCTCTAGATAGAATCAAGAATATCGCAATAAGCAATCGACTAACAATAAGATTCCAGATTTTGTATTATGCTGATTTACATATAAAACTAATGAAAATAGAACCATAATTATATGTAAATATTATATGTAAAATCCGTATATTATATGTAATGCCCGTTTTTAGATGATCTATAATTCGGGACAAAAATCAAGACAGAAGTCTATTTATAATTTTATCTGCCGCATATGCTCTAATATACTTTGATACATGTATTCTAATATATATTTGATGTGTATTCTGATATATGTATTTTGTATGTATGATATATTTCACTTTTTTTGAAATATGTTTTCTATATTACCCGACGTTACATAAAATTATAATTAGAATACTGTTTTTTGCAAATTATAGATCATTTAAAGTTAATAATCTTAATAATGTATTTTGATTTGTTTGTTGATATTTCAGAAAAATGATTTAACATTGTAGTTAAAAATTTTATACAAAAATTACCGTTAAAATTAATCAACGCAAAACAAAACTTTATCGATTAATTACAATTTCCAATTTTATAAAAAAATTCTCAGTTTTTGCAATGTTTTGTTAAACGTCGAGGAATAATTAATTCGGAATGAATAGAGAAACTCGAGATCGAGAAACAAAATGCGATAATTCTGCAGCATTCTATGGCCAAATTTATCTTTCTTCAATAGCTCTGTTAATTACGAGATTCCTATATTTCTCAATTCCTTAATCGAATCACCTCCCGTGTTTCTTTCTTTTTTTTTGTTTCACAATTTTCATCCACCAGCGCGTCGAAATACGGCGAAAAGGCCGTCGGTTAGCGGGAGGGTGGCGGTAGATTGAATCAGCCTAAGCAGCAGCCACCCTTCTACGGATTCCACTCTCTTCTCCCTCCAACCCCGCTTCTCTCTCCCTCGGCAGCTTTCTTCTTCGTCTCCACTCGGCATTTTCGAAGTGGACGCCGAGCTGACCGAACCACTATCAGCTAGATATTCGCTGGCGTGGCGTTTGCGCCCCATTTTATTAAGGAAATCCCACCCTAACCCCCCAGTCCCCGCGGACCCTCGTGTCACGAAGTCCTACGGTGCGAGGTAAATGCGGGGGAGGGGGTTAGTCTTCTCGTAACACGTGCGACGACGTGCGTTTTTTCGTCCTTTTCCCTCGTTCTTCTTTCCGCACGCCGTCTTCTTCTCTCTCTTTGACTTCACTCTCTCTTCCTCGTAACAGACGGAATTGTTTTTCTCGAGCATTTTTCTTGCAGATACGAAGAAAGAGAGGGAAAGACGACGGCTTCGTTCGCAAATCCATGAATGCGTGACGCATATCGATGAGAACGAGGCGTATAACGAGAGTTTCATTCGCGCTGAATGGAAAAGTAAAGTATTAGAGGTGATTCATCGATTGTAAATTGAGACCTGATTCATCTCTGATTTATCAATTTACAAAACTGTTTCAAAAAAGATGTATAATATCAAAAATAGATCGATTAATGTCAAGTATAATAGTCTGACATTAAACTAAAAAACTTAAAAAAATTGTAGATAATCCATGATATTTTTATTATTAAACTATTAATCAGCAATTTTGATATATATGTAACACATCTCGTTACATATTTATATGACTATTATCTCTTGTATTTTTTGTATAAAAAAATCTAATACTGCATACGAGAGTTATTGTTTAACTCATATTAGAGAGATTGCTTTTATAACGTCGTCGACCTAACACAGCGCAAATTTTATTACGACAGAACTTCGTTGGCGAGGATAATAACGCAAAAAAGACATAGAAATAAAACATCTAGCGGGAAGAAACTTCTTCGCACATTTTTTTCCAGCACATGACAGGAGGATTCGCAAACCGCAGTTCGCGAAAGGACACGGCGACCCGTCGCCGAAAAAACGCCGGATCGCTAAGAGTCACAAAAATATTTCGCGAGTTCGGCAAAGTGGTAGGGAGAGAGAGACGACTATATACCGAGAGCGTCTCATTAAAGGAAATTATAACAAAGTGGTTCCTCTCTCCGCGACGTCGGGACTGTCATTTGGCGGTGCGGACGAGAGTTCGCAGAACGGGGTGGCGGTCGGCAGTTGAAGAAGGATGAATGTATAGAGAAAAGGGCTGAGTCAGTTCGCGCGGAAAACGAATTGAAATTTTAATCGCCCACCCTACCCCACCGCGTTAAATGCGTCCAATGCCACCTTGCCAGCTCTAACCCAGCCTCCCCTGCGATGCGACCCTCGCTAACCTCTGTCCTCCTTTTTCCGTCTTCCTTCTTTTTTTTTTTCATTTTTCTTCTTCTCTCAGAGAGCGAGCTAAATGCTTTTACGCGCGTCGCTATTATGTTCCGCCGATGTTCTCTCCCTCGTTTTCAAGCTCGTGTTTATTCTTCAACCGACGCTGGACATTTTTCTCGTCAGCGTTCCCCGAAAAGACTGTATAACGCGTTAATCAGGTGCAATTCCTTCACAAGTTCAATTTGTAATTTAATATCTATTCAAAGTTTCTTTGTACATTTAATGTTGCTTGGAATTTATCAAAATATTGGAGACTAGAGGATATTTTTTAAAAATGTAAAAATTTATATTAATCTCACGCATCTCTTGTTTCATATATTAACTCGATGTGACAGACACATAAGTAGACAAAATAATATTTGTGAAATAGAAAATAAAAACTTTTTAAATACTATTTTATTTAAACTAAACAGTATTTAAATTATTATTTTTGAAACAATTTGCATTTTGAATCATTGCTCATCATTGAATATTAATCGTATATTGAACATTGAAAAATATGAGAAAATTATATAAGCTGAAAGCTATCATGCATTATTATTAATAAAAAAATTTGCATTTTGCCATTCAATATATCGATTTATTTTTCAATCGAGCATATATCGGATAATCAGAACGTATTCTATGTTAATGAATTAAAGCTACCTAGATTCAAAGAAATTATTATAAA